AGGTACTAGGAAGTAGTGAAACTTCATCAGTTGAGATGCCTGGGACATGTGTTGCGTATGCCCGACCACCGACTGCCCCGACGTGCGATGTTTTATGGTGTAGGAGTAGGTTGGAAGAAAGCTAGGGGCGGCCAGACCAAAACATGGCACGAATCCATGAAGTCACTGACAAGTGGACTGAGTCATGTTGGTAGGTGTAGACTACCTGGTTGGGGACCGCGAGATGATAGCAACCGATGGTTAGAGATCTTGAATGACATGGCTCAAAATCGTTTGCAATGGCGCAGGTGCATCCACTCTTTGTGTTCTCTCAAACTCTAATCTTCTGAATTCTTCATGTCCTTTATTTTCTTTCCAAATATATTCCACTGGACTATACTCCTTTAATAACATCATCAAACCTTAATGTCCCCTATCTCTACTTATACTTTCAGTACCTCTACCACTATGGGATTTGAATGGATAACTGAATCTCTGTGCTAATGTGGTATGGCAACTCGAACTGATGTACGTACGTACGAAGTTCCACGTTGTTACTGACTGACTGACTTAGTTATTTGGAGTCTAGAGGAGTCGAAAGACAATGACCCTACTAAAAGACACGCACACGATCTGCAGTTAGTTGAATCTGTAATCAGAAATGTACTGCCTGAATAGATTTCAGGGGTACATATTACGGAAGTAATACGACTCGGTAAATGGGTTGGAGGTGGGACCCAAATAAGAAGGATCTTAAAGTTGGTACTCGGTAATTTAGAAGAAAACTAACGTAAGATTAGATAACACACACTAAGCTCGTGATTCAAATATTTGTGTCCAACCAGATTAACCACTTGAAGATCGAATCAATTGGAAGAATGCTCTTACGGAGTTCATCAATCTAATTCGCGTCGGTAGGTGAAGACTTGTTTGACGCCTATGAAATACTTTCATTTAATGATTGCTGATGTTGGGTTACATAACTCAAATCTGTTATATGGACACAGTTGGGGTAATTCACTGTGTCTCCTTAAGCCTTAGATAAATGTCACTCACAACTTCAAGCTTCTTTGCATTTTCCGAACTATGCTTCTCATATTTAAATTTCTTTTGTTTTCAGTATTGCTTTGTATTCTCATCTTGCGTACTTCCTTTTGTTGCGCTGTTGTGGGGTGTGACAACTCGGGTCAATCAACACCCACTCTGGTGAATGATCATATTAAAATATAGTAGTATTTATGGATCGACTATGAATAACATTTTTGAGTGATTGGTAAAGAAACTGTAGTTGAAAGTTTTCTGTATTGTTACTTTTGAGATTTTTCGTGGAACGCTTCCGTAACGTGCCTGTGAAAACCTTAGCAACAACTTATGTTATCACTTGTTTCCTTGAATTCTGTTTTTGGTATTTGCTGTCCTACTGAAACCGTTTTTGTAAGTTTTGATCGACTTACATCTTCACAACTAAAACGACTACGGAAGGTAAAAGAAAGAATGTACAAGGAGAAAAGCTCTATTGGAGTTCGTAAGCTAAATGGTCTAGTAAACCTAGTCTTCTGTATGTCAGTCATCTGATGTCATGCTCATTATATCAACAGGTTTAAAGAATAGTTATGTTCCTATTTTTACTGAAACTGATGTCTGAAAATGTCCTCAGTCACTTAACTCATCTGATGGTATCCCAAACCCCCTTTTTAGAAAATGCTCTGACGTTCTGTGTTGTTCATTCGCAAGTATCTTTAACAGATCCTTCTCAACTAATCTCATACCGAAAATGTGGAGAAAGATAAAGGTAATCCTTATACCTAAGAAAGTATCTAGTGGTTACTTTCGCCTGTTACTCCTCGTGAAGGAGCATAGGCCGCTTACCAGCATTCTCCATCCAACCGTGTCCTGGGCAATCCTTTCCAGCTCTTTTCAGTTCCTATTGATCCCTTTCATATCTGTTTCTATTTCCCGACGTAATGTGTTCTTTGGCCTTCCACTTTTCCTCTTCCCTTCAGGATTCCAAGTTAGCGCTTGTCTCGTAATACAGTTTGATGATTTCCTCAATGTATGTCCTATCCATTTCCATCGTCTTTTCCTAATTTCCTCTTCCGCTGGAAGCTGGTTGGTTATCTCCCACAAAAGGCTGTTGCTGATGGTATCCGGCCAATGGATGTTGAGTATCTTGCGTAGACAGCTATTGATAAATACTTGTACCTTCTTGATGGTGGTTGTTGTAGTTCTCCAGGTTTCAGCTCCGTACAGTAGAACTGCCTTGACGTTCGTATTGAAGATTCTGACTTTGATATTGGTTGAAAGTTGTTTTGAGTTCCATATGTTCTTCAGTTGAAGGAATGCCGCTCTAGCTTTGCCAATCCTCGCCTTGACGTCTGCATCTGAACCTCCTTGTTTATCGACGATGCTTCCCAGGTATGTGAAGGATTCCACGTCTTCCAGAGTTTCGCCATCAAGAGTGATTGGATTTCTGTTCTCCGTGTTGTGTTTGAGGACCTTGGTTTTCCCTTTGTGTATGTTGAGGCCTACTGATGCAGAGACTGCTGCTATGCTGGCTGTCTTTATCTGCATTCGTTCGTGTGTATGTGATAGGAGGGCTAGGTCATCTGCGAAGTTCAAGTCGTCTAATTGGTTCTGAGCTGTCCATCGTATGCCGTAGTTTCCCTCAGATGTCGAGGTCTTCATAATCCAGTCGACCACCACAAGAAACAGGAAGGGAGAGAGTAGACAGCCTTGTCTTACTCCGGTCCTTACTTGGAATGCGTCTGTCAACTGTCCTGCATGCACTACTTTGCACTGTAATCCGTCGTATGAGTTCCGGATAATATTGATAATCTTCTCAGGAACTCCGTAGTGTCGAAGAAGTTTCCATAACGTTCTCCTATCTACACTGTCAAATGCCATCTCATAATCAATGAAGTTGACGTACAGTGACGAGTTCCACTCAATTGATTGTTCGACGATGATCCGTAGTGTCGCAATTTGGTTTGTGCACGACCGATCCTTGCGGAATCCAGCTTGTTGATCTCGAAGTTGAGCGTCTAGTGCGTCTTTCATCCTGTTTAATAACACTCTGTTAAAGACTTTTTCTGGTATTGACAGTAGTGTAATGCCTCTGTAATTTTCACACTTGCTCAGATCTACTTTTTTTGGAATCTTGATCAGGTGTCCTTCCTTCCAGTCCGTCGGCACTTGTTCCTCCCCCCAAATCTTCTTGAATAGAAGATGAAGCATGTTCGTAGTTATTTCGATGTCTGACTTCAGTGCTTCCGCTGGTATATTGTCGGGTCCTGCTGCTTTCCCGCTCCTAATTTTTCAGATGGCCATTGTGACTTCTTCGGTCGTTGGTGAATTGACATCTATAGGAAGATCTTTGTGTGCTGCTTCGATGTCGGGTGGATTCATTGGAGCCGGCCTATTCAGGAGTTCCTCGAAGTACTTTGGTGGTAAGAATGTGAAATTTAGACCCATTGCAATAACTTCATCTTTCGTCAAAACAGTGGAAAAATTATTGATACTCCTACTTCAATCTGCAATAAAAGAGCACATTGATCTGTACCAGTTTGTTTATAAGTGCAAAAGAAGCACCTTAGATGTCGTTGCTGTACTACATCACAATATAGTGTTCAGCTTGAAAAATGGTAGGAAGTACGTTCGATGCTCTTTTCTGGACTATACTTCTACTTTCGATTCTATCCCAAGGCAACTTTTACTTGACAAGTTATTCAGCGTCAACATTGACAGCTGGATAACCAATTGCCTATGTTCCTGCCTCTCTAGAAGGGAACAATGCACTGTGTTTGGAGGTAAGTGTTTGACATCTCTACTGTCTCATGAAGGTGTACCACAAGGAGCCGTTCTTTCACCTCTTCTTTGCTCTTTTTTCTACATGATCTGCCATCTTCCACAAAAAACACTTGTGAAATATGCGGATGATCTCATTGCATGTATGCCGATTTCTACTTCTTTACATCCCATAAAGTTGAATGAGTTTTTGCCTCGCATTGAATGGTGGTCTGTTGTTAATGGTCTCATACTTAATACGTCTAAATGTCGAGCTGTTAACTTTAGCGTGAGACATGAACAGCTTCTAAACACCATTTTAGGACTACATGCTTGTGCCAGTGTCGAAGGTCAATTATCTTGGTGTTACGTTCTTCGTCTAACTTACTACATAAAGAGGCTACATATTATCTATTATTCTTTACTGTTCTCCATTATTCTTTCCCGGGCTTTTAAGAAAAGACTTTGCTGTATTACGGAGACTGCTAAAGGCATTTAGCAAGGTGTGTGGTGAATCTTCCGAGGTCATTATCAATATAGTTGTGGATAAACATCTGGTTTTGCAAACTCCTGGTAGGTGTTGTCTTATCAGATACTAACCATCCCCATCACCCATATCGTTCTCCTTGTATATCTTCTCGTAGAACAAGACGAAATTACATTAAAATCCATTCATGTAAGCAATGGTGCAAAAGTTCTATAATACCTTACCTAGCAAATATACTCTGTGACGAACAGGTTGTTAGAGTTAACCTAGTCAATAACCTGTATTCTTAAACATGTTTCTAATTTGGAAAGTTGTACAGATTCAGATTTTTTCAGCTTTTTCCTTTCTTTTTTGTTAAAGAAACTTGTTAAAATACCTCGTGCTGAGAATTCTATATTGTACTAAAATGTAATATTGAATAAAGCCATTCATAATAATAATAAATAATAAAAGCCTCCGTTAATTTGAATTTGTCCTTTTTAGTCTCATTCTTTCATAAGTATATTAAGGACTCACAATTTTAGTATTCACATTTTAGGAGCTTCATTTCCTAGATTATATTTTTTTGATGATTTCAGATACTGAATTATTTTCGGACAGCAGAGCAAATCATTATTTACTTTTTGATTGACTTGTATGTGAAAGTTCAGCAATCCAGACGACCAAAGATCCTTTATTTTGGTTTTGGATGATTGACTAAATTGAAATGTTTGAATGTCTATTTTTTGTTTACTGCTACTAATTTTATGTAATGGAATCAGATCCTGTCAGCACTAACGAACCGTGCGACGTTCTTCTAATGCAACCAAGTATAACTATGAATGTAAACGACGACGAAAATGAGACTAATTCAGATACTCTTTCACCAATTCAGCAAATCGACTGTTCTGTACATGAACCACCAGATAAGCTGAACAACGATACACCATTCCATGAAGAACAGATTCCAGATTCCTCTAGTCAACAGGAAGACAAAGGTCTCTCTGGAGACATAAATAAGCCAGATCAAACCCATTCATATTTTCCTGAGGACGATGAATCATCCACTTCACAGCATAAAAACCTCAGACCTCGACGGTCTATAAGAAAACGATATGTTGAGATACAAGAGGATGAATGGGAAAGGCTCTTGAGTGATGATGTCTGTCTTCATGAGTATGATCTTAGTCAATATATAGATATGGAAGGAGCATCAATTAACACATGGGTAAGATACCTCTAACAAAGTGAATTTTTGTCGATAAAGTATTTCAGTCATTTACGTGTTTTCTATTTGGTCCAGCGTACGGACGTTGCATAGTGTCGCAGTGCTATGTGGTCAAAGCGTTCTGCTCTAAGGCATTAAAAATGGCTTGTGGTAAACTTACTACGCGACTAAATTATACACAATTTCCAGTACTTTATATTTTATAAATGATGAAGAACAAAGTTATTTTATCATAGTATTCGTAGGAAATTACGTACTTAGGATGAGCCCATTTCAAATAAATTTTTATTTAGACTGATTTTGATAAAAGCGACTCATTACAATTACTTTTGCTGTGCATGCTAAATGTTAACTCGAGCCTGGATATTCATCTATCGTCTCACTTCTATCAGATAAGATATATTTACAATTATTTTCGGGAGCAATAGGACTCGACTAGTTTTTGGTAGATTTTAGGCATTGTGATGGCGGGCAACTTATTTTGAATTCCGGTTCTATTTCGGTGCGCAGAAGTTTTGTGAACCTGTTTTGACTCTTTGAGTTAAACACCCCAACTGTAATTTTTGTTACGAATGATTGATTCTTCTAATCACTCAGAGCTTTAATTTCGTATTAAATGGACTATAAAAGGAATTAGCGTTTTTAGAGAGCTATAGCGAATGTGTGAATACTTGTAATATCAAAGTATTTGCTGTCACCTATTATAACCTGCACTTCTACAAAAAGTTTATTTTGCATTTTTCCGACTAATTTAATTATAATAGTTTGCAAATATCTCATTTCTTATCTGTAGATTGCAGTAGAACAAATATTGGGGAATCGTAAATTAAAAAGTTCAAAGATTACGAAAGCGAGTGAGTAATCGTACTTACTTTTTCCTTAAAACTTTTATTATGGATAGTTTTCCAAGGAGTCGTGTTCCTATCCCATCCCACCTACTTTGGTTAGTGAATACGGGTGTTGTCGTTAGCACACACAAAAAGTACTACTGAAAACCCGGAAATTTTATTTATTGAGTCACATAAATTAAAACAAAAAACGTAGACAATAGATCAGCCAAAACATATAGAGTTGTATATTCTAGCATGTCTTCTCGTGCTTATAAAAGACATCTGTTGGTGTAAAATTGTGATATAACAGGAGAATTATATAACTTACTATATTGTAAACTAGGTTGGTCCATATATTTTTGTGCTATCATGTTTTCGGCTAATTGTCTATCTTTGAAAAGCCTATAGTCGGGTTTTTCTATTTGTTCAAACGTGGTACGTTGATGTGTAACATTTAAATTGTTCCGGTTTTATGTCTCACTAGTAGATCTTTTGATGTTTTCATTTCATACATGAAGTGTATATAAGTGCTAATATTAACAATGAATTGTTGATCAATCTCTGAGCAAGGCTATTCGGTTGTAATTGAAATCTAGTGACTTGCTTAATTCTCCTTGTCATTGCCTAAATAATGGCTTGTTATGATACAGGTGTAGGATTTATAGCTCATTCAATAGCAAAATTATGGTTTTTTTCAGAAAATCACATTTCTACTGTGCTGGAGATGTTAAATCCCCAGACACGACATTGTTCTTATTTTACAAGTTTATCAGGGGAATTAATTGCAGGATAGCGTGAAGTCAGTCTTCAAATCTACGTCTTGATTGAAGGTGATTTTCATTCATCAATTTTCAGTTCTCATTAATCCATTGTGATTTTTGTTCATTTAATTTAATTAATTCTCTGTGATTTTGTGTTCTCGTGACAATTGTTCGGTTTGATAATTTATGTAACTAATAATTCAGTCGTTATATGGTTGAATGAATAAATTTCCCCAAGTCTTTACCAAATAAACATCCCTTACAAGATTTGTGTCTTGGAGTAGTCAGGGCTAGGGAGGAAGAGAGCTGTCGTTAAATTTATCACTGTTACCTCAAACATATCAGACGCTCAAATATTCTAACTTTTATACCCGGGAATTTACATAATAGCTGTATAACCGTTTTATGAAATGATTTATAAAAAATGCAAGCAAAACAAGGTATATTGAATACCGACAAATGCGGTGCATTAGATCAGCAATCTGATGATTTAAAGTAATGTTAAATGTTACTGGTATAACAAAAATCGTATTTGAATAATTCTTTTTAAATGTTGGTTAGTTTTAAAGTTCTTACAGCCCCTATTTTAAGGTTGAAGATGATTTATATGCAGTTATTTTTCGTTTTTAAATAACAAGAACTCAGTATATGGGGTTTTGGATAATTTTCACTGTTATTGAAAGTTGTTGATGTCAGTCACTATAAAATGCTTATCAATAAGTGGAATGACTATTTCGAAATGTTTCTGATAAATATCATGAAATAACCAAGATTTTTGTTCACATTATGTTATCTAAGTGAGTGGAAGTGTTCATGTTGCTGTCGCAATGTTCAGTTCCTTTCTCATTAAAATCCCATGTGATTGCTCTAAAATCAATATGCTACAAATAAATAATGATGAAAAACTTGACCTTTTTAATTATGAAACTTTATAAATGGGTCTACAACTTTTATAACACATAATATTTACAGAAACATTCAACCCATCGAGCATACTCTTAAACTTTTCTGACATTCTTTCTTTTGCGTAAATTACAAATCTCACTACGAAACAGGAAACATTATACATCTCGATAGAATAGGATTATTTAGATTCGTGCTTTTGCTCATATCACTGCGATTAATGTTATTAACTCCTTCCATCTTAAATCATTGGATTATTTAGTTTTCATATTTTTGTATAACGCAAGTAGTTTCACCACTTTGATCTATATTTGTTGAAATAGACAAGGTTGAACAAAGTACACATGTACTTTCTCCATCGAATAGTGTAACAATTTATAATGACGATCAATCTAAACTTTAATTTTAACTTAAGTAAGCGATGTTTTAGGAAAGCTATGCTGAAATGCGCGTTTGATACATGTATTTTAAGTGGTTACACCTCACCTATATATTGAAGGAAACAATGAATAGTTATGTATCCCTCTAATGGTTACCTCACTAGCGTTAGCCTAGATATCCAAGCGAATAAAAACGTCAATAGACTGAACTTATTTACTCCCTGATATCAGACAATCTTCACTTAATAAACATTTAGCTCTAAATTTCCTCCCAACCTAACTCCAACTAACTGATATCCTTGAAAATCATTGACAGATACTGTTATTGTAAAAACAAATTCTCCTGCACGAATTGTTTTGAAATTTTTGATTCACTAGACGGTAAAATAACTTGTTACGCGCACACCAAAGCCTTTTAGCGGTTTTATTTGTTTATGAAATTAGTAAATTCATGTTATCATCTAACATGTGCTACTTTTATTTTATACTTCTGCCTAGCTTTATGCTTAATTGCTCAAATTGGTTTTTATTTAAATTATAGTCAGTGGAGCTGTAAGGAGCTTTTCATCCAACAACAAAGAAATCGTTGAACAAGAATATTTTGTTAAATTTATTGATCAGTCCTACTGGCATTGTGCATGGATGAGTGGAGCAGTTCTTTTCACCCTTAACCCGAGTAAAATACGTGCTTATTTCAGGACTAAACAGAATACCAACAATCAGAAGCTGAACCCGAATAGCTCCAAATTAAGTCTAAATCATGAATGTAGCCAAATGGAGAATGGAAATCATGATATTGCTTCAAACGCTGAGTCTAAACTAACAACATTGGTTTCTCATTCAAGTGAAGAAGAGAGTGACGATGAAGATAATTTAAGAAAATGGAGTAAGGATGCTGAGCTGGACGTTAATGAGTAAGCTTAAATATGGACGATATTGTATGTGTTCTTTCCTTTGTTTGCTTTTTTTATTAACTGTCTGATTAGATCTTGATAGTGAATCAGTGGAGCTTCGTACCTGCGCATTTTGAATGTATCACAAAATGGAATATACTTCAGTATTGTGTTTCTTAGCTTGTTTGTAATCTTTTGTTTTTATTGAACAGGATCACCCTAGCATCAAAGACCTGATCATCGTTTTATTTACCATTTGGCAGATATTTTGTGTATAAGCAAATGATTCAAACTAACATTTAGTCGTAAACTTTATTCTCCAAATAACTTTTGTTGATTTGATTTAGTTTTTGAGGGTATAATCTCTCCCAAAGTTATTGTTTAAGCTATCTGTGCACCTAATTCAAGTGTGAAATGGCTCTCAGTTCTTATGCTATTCCCCCTTTATAGTTTCCACTTAATTCTGATTTATATTCGCTAGTGGGTGCGTATCAGTGTATTTGTCATGTTGAACCTCATTTATTCTGAACCTTAGTGCTCAAGGGACCACCTTTTTTGGTAATTAATTTATTCAGTGTTGTCGAAGAATTTACTAACTCGATTTTTCCTATAACAAAATTACTTACCATGAGTTAGATATACCTCGCAAATATCTTCGTAATTGTCATTGCATAAAAGTATATCAATAATCTGTTTATATTATTCCTAGCTAATTTGTAAGCTCATAAATTCTCGACTACTGTGATCGCTAATAGTATATTAAAGTAATATTGTTGTTTCCACTTTCATCTGTAACACAAAATACACAATGATCGTAGTTATTGTACCTTATTTTTTTAGGATTTACTTAGCTATCTTTAACTTGCTCATTTGAATTTCCTGTTGCAGAAACAATATATTTGTCTACTTTCTATTTGCATAGGTGGATTGCTAATTATCCGAAACGTGCTGGTTCACGTCGTCGCTATCTTCTACGATGGGGTGTCGAAAGTCACACACTTATTCCTGAACGTGTTTTAGCTGTTGGGGAATCATTCACTCCTGAAAGGTTTAAAAAGGTTGAGGGAATAGACAGCAAAGATAAATCTAATCGACCACCTAATACAATGAATTGGCCAGAATATAGAGAAGTCCTCGTCAAATGGTTGCATTTGCCGTATATTCATGCAACGTGGGAGACAGTTGAATCAGATATGTTGAGTTTGAACTCTCATGGAGTTGATCATAAAAGTCAAAAAAGTGCATACAAAGTTCTTGATCCTTGCGGACGCAATTTATTACCACGTCTAGTGAGGCGACATATCATTAGGCTAGCTGATACATATTGCTCTCGTGTTGCGACCATATTATGTGATGTATACGGAAATCAACTTACACCGGGAAGAAAAAATAGAAGTGCCGGAAATTGGAAAGTATGTTCTTTATTTTGTTACGTACTTATATCTGCTGTATTTCGTTTTAGACAGCTACTTATTTTCTAGTCCTCATTTGACCACTGTAGGTCAAATCTGAGGATGTAAACGTGTACTTTTTAAGTAAATTACCTTATTTTAGAAGTGGTCCTCCGTCTCTACAAGAACACATATTATGCCTATTGTTATGAATCCCACTTAGAATGATTTAAAGGGACTAAGCTGTAGCTGCACATATCCAACATTTGTTGAATATTCTGTATTTTTTTCTAAATATAAAATTGTTGATTAGAAATGATCCCAGGAAAATTGGTGAAGTTAAATAAGTGGATTATCTTATATGACCTTCTTGCGGGTCCGTTTTGTCTTATATGATACGAGTTGTTGTTTTAGATATTATGTAGAGTTATTAACTTCGTTTTTTATTTGATCTAGTCAAAATGGATCGATGAACAACCTTCTTATTTATCCCCAGTTCACCATAGAGTTCTTCATCCTTATCAAATAGAAGGTGTAAGATGGCTATGGCATGCATATCATAACAATATCAACGCCATTCTAGCAGATGAAATGGGCCTGGGCAAAACGGTTCAAGTGATAGCTTTACTATATTCACTGTGGAAGGAAGTATGTGGTGGTTATTTCTTCTTTGCTATACTTGGTTATATGCTATTTTACCAAGAAACACTAAAAGGATTACTAATAAAAGAACCTGATGCTAGTTTTTAATTTTAGGTTTTGTTTCGTTCTTAGGATCTTAAAATGCTTCTGTCGTTGTGAAATGTTGTACAGTACCTTTCATTATCCATCCAGTTCAATGGGATAGTAATTAACTATTCTCCGTACTTCTGCTCCAGCTTCTCACTCATTTTTTACACTATGATGTCAATATTTTCGTCTCAGTTGTTAGTGGATTATTATCGACGTTACGTACACTTTGTAAAGATGGGTACGACAGTTGCTTCATTTAGCCTTAGTAGAATGCTTTTAGTTTTCTATAAGTGAACATCAGGTAATAAACGGTTAACAGGGGCAGAAAGTTGCACAATATATATTGTTATTAGAATGAATAGTGACCCGTTTGAGCGGTTAATATTCCAGACTAAAATAAAGAAATGGAGAACATTAAAGATGTTATTAGTCCCTTATTAATGTTAACTACAGTTCAACTGCATGTTTAATTATGAGATTATTTGGCGTGACCCTTGCAATAAAACAAAAATTAAGCATCTTGAAGTTAATCTTAGGATAGCCCGCATATCTTAGCAGTTCAAACAGACTTTTATAGATAACTTAAATCTTATCAGACGAGGATTGAGTTTTTGAACGATATTAGTAATAATATTTTATTCCACAATAACTTACATACCAGTACTTCAATGGAAATAGTTATTTCTACATTTTAATAAAATTCTATTTCATAAGGTACTTAAAAGAAAACGACCACTTGATGTCTAGATTTCATCATCCAATCAACAAGACTTGCTATTGTGATGGATGTTTCCTATGTTGTGAAATCACCCAATAATGCATTGCATTTGGTTTTGAAATCTGCTCACTTCCTAGTACCAATGATCATGACTTATTTTATTGCATTTCAGTCATGTAATAATAATAAGTAGTATTCGAACATTTGGATCCGATAAAATCGAATTTAAATACTTGCTACCTTTATTTGTAAAAATACAGATAGATTGTCAAACTGCGTCTTCACTATCGGTAATTTGGGTTTTATTTAGGAGAATGACTATGGACCATTTATCATAATGGCGCCTCTGTCAACGTTACAGAATTGGGATAGGGAATTTTCGATTTGGGCACCTGATTTCTACATCGTTGTTTACAGTGGTGACAAGCAAGTTCGTTCATTGCTTCGGTGAGTTAGTGTACAATTTTTGTTGTCTCAGCAAGTATGTGTATTTGAAATATCGATGAAATCACAGTATTACCTCAATGTTTAAAAGTAGTGTCAGAAGATACATATTTTTCTACTGAAGGTAATATTTTCTAACTACCCTTTTAAAAATTGTCATGAACAAAGCCTCACAACAAGCGTTATCCACTAAAAATATCCGTTTACCACGACGCACAATACTGACAAGTGTTGGAGATAGTTGGAATAAAGTTAGGAGCGACCCAACCAAAACGTGGCATCAGTCCTTGAAGTTACTAACTTCTAGCCTGTGCCATGTTGGTAGATGCAGACTATCGTAACCAATGGTTGGCGACTGAGTGAAGTGGCTCAGAATCGATCTCAATGGTGTAGGTGTATGCACTCTTTGTCTTTTCTTTAACTGTGAGATTAAAATTGCTTTATATCTTTCTTTCTACGAACTAATTCTTTTTCCCTGTATTATATCCTTATATTCAATCTTTCTTTTAGCCATTCCTACCATTGAAGTGAATACTTCTATGAATTTGTTGATCATCTTGTTATGCTAATGAGGTGTGGCAACTTGGACCGATGCATGTGTGCCTGGTTCTACGTTGTAGTTGACTGACTAAAAATATTCAAACTAACTCTTGTTGTTGAACCTTTTCACTGACATACTTGTAATTGACCCTGTTGAGCTTCGACTCTTCTAGAAATCTTTTCTTTCCCACAGTTCTTGTGATTAACCTGAAGCATGTTAATAAAATGATTCTATTAATCTAAAACGTTATATTCATGGTCTTCTAAAATCTGTAAAGGGTATCCTGAGAAATTTCACCATGCGTTTTGGATCTGTCACATACAAAATTCTGTTCTTGATCCTTCTACAATGGTACCTAGTTTAGGAATGTGAAGCGAAATCATTTAGTTTGTGTTAACCGTGAATAGATGCTTCCTAATGAATTTTGGTCTCGAATGCAGAAGCTGCGTTTGGTGTTTGCTAATCTACACCGCATAAAAAGCGATGTTGAGATTATATGCAAATTTGAGTGGATCAGGAAATTCATTAGTTGAGTATAAAAAGTATTTTTATTCCTTTCAAAGTTTGTGAACGTTCACTGTCTACAAGTTTTGGTTTAAAGAAATGATTTTTCTTGTTTCTCTTATGCAACCATTGAGATTGGCTGCTTTTTTAATTATGTGGTCACTTTAAAATAACTTTGATTCAGGTTCTTTTCGTCGATAAAATATAACTCTTTGTGCTTAAAGTTAACATATTCGCTAAAAATCATTGTCTGAAAATAAAGTATAGTACATTTATTAATTCGTCAGTTTTTCGATTTCATTCGTGGATATCTGACACTAATAAACTGATTGCTTAAATATTTCTCAACTACTCTCTGTTGTCTAACTAATCAATTTTTTCTTTAGAGAATATGAATTTCGCTTACGAAATGCTGGAGGAATACCTGCGTTCCATGTACTAATCACCAGCCATGAATTAGCTTGTATTGATCGTTCATTTTTGAAGAGTTTTGATTGGAGTGTTTTGGTTGTGGATGAAGCTCACCGTCTGAAAAATAAACAGTCTCGTGTACGTAAAGCAATTACTGTGTGTCCATTTCTTTTATTTATACAATATATTGAAAAATTCAAGCAATAATCAGTTTTAAACTTTGAGTAGCTTTATTAAGAATCGACTAATAGCCCTGAAATTTCTGGGCAATCAGCTTTTCTTCTGGTCACTGGCTCAATTTTCAGGGGTTTGTTTTCCTAAATCAACCACTTCGCGATATGAAAGCACTATTTTTGAGTATCAACAGTAGAGATATATCTTCAATAAATAAACTATAATACACGTCGTTAACAAGCATTGGATCGTTAATCATTTAGCTAGATGGTGGTAAAGTCTGAATCCTAAGCAAAACATAAATTTTGAAGTGATGAGGAAGATTTGTATCCCAGGTGATTACTTTGGATGTTTTTGTGTTCTTTGAAGTGGATGGTTTGATTGCATAATTTTCATTATCATTTCGGACATCATTAGAACCTACTACATAAAGTAAGGTCTGTTATTGTCTATAATGACAATGAAAGCTCTGCCATTATACCATGTAGCTGAGAACTCATTAACATCAAAAATGGATAAATTTTATCACATACGGGGATTTTTCATTGGATCACACTGAATCCCTATCTAGCCATGAGTTTTTACATCCTTTATCTTTTGGTAAACAACTAAATACATAAAGTTGATTAGCGAAAATGTCAAATATTTCCATCATACAAGTGGATTATAAGTAGTAAAAATTATGCACTCCTGTTATTCAACCTTCTGTATTATGCAGCACTGAATTGTTATCTTATTTTCATTTCGTAGTTCTTCAAAGACACTAGTCAGTATCATACTAAATTTAAAATCCTCTTAACTGGAACGCCATTACAAAACAATTTAGAAGAATTATTTCATCTATTAAATTTTGTTGAACCGAAAAAATTCACGTGAGTTTTCTTCCTTATTTAAGATATATGATCTTTATTTTCGTTATTTACGTGAACTGCTGTTGTGCTTCTCCTTGAAGTAGCAGATATCCACATTTCTGAATTTGATTGATAATGTTTGAGAACACAGAAATGTCAATAACAAGCCCAGTTCACTAGAACTATCCACTAAATGACACCAAACCTTCTAAAAAATCATTTATTCGGTTTGGCCTTGTGGTTTCCTTCCCAATTGGTTTATCCGTCATATGTGCTGAAACCATTGTCGTCTACTGCCAGACCATCATTTATTCATATGTTCCCATCCTTTCATTCATAAATATGTTCATACCTAAACTAACTGGTATTTCTCTTAGTATTAGGGTTACAGAATAAGATTTTAGTGCTTTAATAAATGAATTATCGATTGTTCAAATGGCAGAAGAGAACACTGAATGATAAGCAGTAAACAGTGGTACAAATTGTGGCTAAGTGATGGTTGCTCACTAGACCTATCTTTTGAATTAAGCCTCTAAATGATTTGGAGTCAAAGATAAGACTACTAGCCAGAATTACAAGTTTTCTATACAATACTATATACTTATTTTAAAAAATATTAAGACAAAATCAACATGCTAAATTATCAAGGGGAGTTAGAAAAAACCAGTCTATAAGTCACTTACTTCCCAATGATTTAAGACTTGATCGTTAGGCCTGATCCTCGGGCTTTGTATCAATTAGTTTCAATCATTTTTCCCATTTGCCGTATGCACTCAGAAAGTAGATCTTCGCCAAAACTTGGCTTTCATAGATTTTAAGAAAATTATTGTGCTAAAGTTTATTTCAGTGGATAGAAATATACATTACAGTAGTCTCGTAGTTTTTGACTTTGAACCCCATTCTTACAAACTGGATTTGCTCTGAGTACATGTGCTCAATATCATTATGTTTATTTATAGGTATTAAGAAACTTGAGAATGTTTTTGAATATCACCATAATGGTTCTACATGTTGTTTTATGCTTCTCTGAATGAAGATAAGTAGACAAAACCGTATTGGCGATGAATACATTTTGGATTCCAGTGAATAATAAGTTTATCAGAGTAACTGATGATATAAATTTATTTTTTCACAGATAAAGCTAACACATAGATTTTATTCCATCATAGTGATCATTATATTTTATCTTTGTAAAATTATTTTTATTTCTTCATGCTTTACGTCCTAACGGTCACACAGTATTTACTCTTTATTTATTATTTCTCATGAAAAGTGATTTTCGAGCACTAAGTGAAAAATGGGCTGAAATGCCAAAATCTGATCGTATTAAACATCTCCACGATTTACTCAAGCATCATTTATTAAGGCGATTGAAGTGCGACGTAATCCATGATTTACCAAAGAAAACTGAAATTATTGTTCCAGTTGATATGACTTTACTTCAGAGGTTAGTGATTTTTTTTTAAGCTTGGTCTGCTGTTGTTGGGGACGATAAATTCCCCAAAAACTCACATTTGTGATTTTATCGATTAACTTATCGATTAAATGTTTAAATATTTGGATAGCAATCAATCGACGAACTTATTGACAAATGTTTAAAAATTTAAATGACAATATAGATTATATATATTTGTATATCTATGTTTTAAATTGTTTTCGTTGAATCGCTCGTTTCTGGTTGTTGCAGAATATAGTTCTCATTTCAAGCCTGGACCTCTCCCTCTAGATAGCTGGGGCTGGGACGCGTCAATAGTTAGCTTACTGGTCTTGGTCATCGAATCTCGTTCTCGTTCGCAGATTTAAGTAAACTCGTTAAGCTTCAAACCTAACAGCTGTTTAATACTTTTTTGGTTGTTTTTAAATTACAGTCTTGAATATTATTGCATCATTGTCTCACGCTAATCAATATACAGATATAGATGGTGTAACACAATGGCTAGAAACGATATCAGATATGGCTCAGAATAGAAGCCAGTGGCGATCCTGCTGTAACCTTCTTTTACTTTCTTCGTAAAAAGCGGTTGCTTTTTCCTTAACTGAAAGATTTCTTCTGATTTTACCTTTTTCTTTCCCCCATTATTGCTACTATTACGTTACCTTACACTAATCTAGTCGTTATTGTTCTCTCTTTTTTACAATTCCCTACGTTCCTTACCTTTTTTTCCTTCTCTTTAAATTCTCATTGTTTTGTGTGGCGCATATATATTTGGTACCCCCTTGTGCCAATATTTATGTGTTCAAATAAATAAATAAAATAATATATATATATATATATATATATATATATATATATTTGCTTTTGTAGACGTCTTTATAAATATATCCTAACAAATAATTATGAGGAATTACGATGTGGAAATCTAATGAATAGTATTATGCATTTGCAAAAAGTGTGTAATCATCCATATTTGATGCAAGTTGGAGATGCTATTGCACCACGCTTAAACCCAAACGACGAAACAAGTGGGCCATACGAACCCAGAGCTTTGGTACAAGTCAGCAGTAAATTGGTTGTATTAATGGAATTACTTCGTGGATTGTTTGTTGATGATCATCGAGTGTTGATTTTTTCCCGCTTCACAATGATGTTGGATTTATTGGAAGAGGTTTTGACTAATGCCAAGTAAGTGTTTTCTTTTCAAAAATAATATATATTTTAACTTTTTTAACCAACGCATTCGATACTCTAAAATTAGAATTTATCAAATTTCCAGTTTATTCAACCTAATCAACTTTACTGTGTTTTTAACTGTGCCAAGAATTTGATGCTTACCGGGTAAATTAATTTACATCTCAGTATATGTTGAAATAACATTATTTGCAAAAACCCTTATTGATTTTCCATGGTTCGATCGGTTCTACGTTACCATGTTACCAACTTTTGAAATGTTCTTTTGTTCAAGTTGATAAATTATTGACTAATAAAAATAACATGATCAAAGTTTAATACTAATAATATAGATGTTTTATAAGATGTTACTTTCAGCATTGGAAAAAAAGTTTACTGTGTTAATATCGGATCAGTGCTACGTAAGCAGATTTTAATTTCGTATTGTGTTGACGGTAAGAATGAAAGATCAAACGTTCCATTTTTTATAGATTTCAAGCGAAATCTGAACTACTCTTCGAATATTAGTTATTTAGGTGTCATATATACTATTGAAGAAATATGTCTTTATGTACGGTGTAATTAAAGTTATGGTGTTAACCCAAATAACTAGTTCTGATAATATTTCATGTTACTAACTTAATATTTTAGACCTAAACAACTCACATAATAAAGTAAAATGAACCATGATGAAAAAATTTCAACAGGTTAGATGGGAGGAGAGATGAATTATTGAATATTTGATTTTATAGTTAATAAATATGATTGTTGTCTTTTTTTATCATGATTGGATTGTTTTAAGAAAGTCAGATTATATCAACTCTCCTACACCAAAGTTTGTTTAATAAGCTTTTCAACTAACTTATTTAACAGACAGTTATTCGAGCAGCAACAATTTGTCTGTCTGTCTATTGAACTGTATTATTATTATTATTATTATTATTATTATTATTATTATTATTATTATTATTATTATTATTATTATTATTACGTCTGTATGATCATGTGTGCTAGATCACATTTAACGCCTACGCACGTATTCGTCTCTCTAGGTTATGTATTAGTTGCTTAAATATCGCTCTATGACACATTCGCTTTCCCATATATATGTGCTTGAAGCGTGTTAATTGACTATCTGACTCTCAATTTACCTCTGCATTCGATCGCTCGCGTGCATTAGCTAAGCCACTGCAAGCTTTCTTGAGTTATAAAACCAGTGAGCATTTTTTAAAATATGTATTTGTCTCTTTTTGTATATCCATTGTTTTTGTCATGTTGGAATGAAGAAGGAATACTAGTGAATTCATATTGTTTTACGCGTAAAACACGTAGCAATTAACAAATGTTTTAAAATGTCTTTTTGTTAAATGAATCTGTACTGTTGTGCCAGAATTGTTTTGATTGTAGTATACTGAATAGAAATGTTGCCTTTCATTCTCTTTATTTCAAAAGGTATAAATATGTTCGCATTGATGGTCGTGTGCGAGGTCCTTTAAGACAGGTTACTATCGACCGTTTCAATGCTCCCAACTCGGAATTTTTCGTTTTCCTTTTATCTACTAGAGCCGGTGGAGAAGGAATCAATCTTGCTTCAGCCGATACAGTAAATCATTATTTACCACTTTAGAGTAGCCTTATTTTTACTATTATTTGAATGTTTATTTCATTCAAAGTAAAATGAGCACTCGAAATTCTTCATTATTCGAGACGTGTTTAACACATTAATTGGTCAGCTTAGGTAATTTGTTGATGCTGAACTCATAGACGTATTAGTCCTTGTGGATGTCTGTATCTTAATCACTTTTAGTTGGTGAATGTACATTTTGTATTATGGACACTATTATGGTGGGTATTTTGTCCTAAAAATTTAATAATCAATAATGTGTGATCATTTTCATCCAAATTTTCTTCAACTTTCATTGTCGTATTACACTGTTTCCGTAAATCAGTTATATTGTCTTATTAATTAGATGATTTTGTTGCACCAAATACATTTTAGATTAGGAGAGAATGCATAAGTAAGCAATAAAAATGCCATAAAATTTATACTGAAAACCGCTTTCGATTATGGATCTCTGTTTATCCAAAAACTTATAGAAATTTGCTTTTTAATCGTTTCTGTATGAACTACTTGTCCATTTCTTCGTGACTAATTATTACTTACTTACTTACACCTGTTACCCGTCATGGAGGAGCATAGGTTGCCGAACAGCATTCTCCATCCAACTTTGTGTTGTGCATTCCTTTCCAGTTGCTATTCATCCTTTTGATACCTGCTTCCAATTCCCGACGCAGTGTTCTTTGGCCTTTCTCTTTTCCGTTTCCCATCAGGATTCCAAGTTAGCGCTTCCTTCGTTTTGCAGTTTGATGATTTCCTCAACATTTGTTCTATCCACTTCCAACTATTTTTCCTAATTTGCCCCTCAGCTGGAAGTTGGTCTGTTTTCTACCACAGTAGGATGTTTCTGATGGCATCCAGCCGACGGATATTGAGTATATTACGTAGATGATTATTTATAAATACTTGTACGTTTTTGGTGATGGTTGTAGTAGTTCTCTAAGTTTCAGCTCCATACAATAGAACTGTCTCGACATTCGTATTGAAGATCCTGACTTTGATATTGGTTAAAAGTTCTTTTGAGTTTCATATGTTCTTCAACTGTAGGAATGGTGTCTTTGCTTTACCAATGATCGCCTTTACGTCTGCATCAGGTCCTCTTTCTTTATCGATGACGCCTCTTAAGTACGAGGAACTTTACACCTACGCCAGAGCTTCTCCATCAAGTGTGGTTAGGTCGGTGTCCTCTGTGTTGTATTTGAGGATCTTGCTTTTTCCTTTGTGTATGTTGAGGCCTACTGATGCAGATGCTTCCGCTACACTGGTTGTCTTGACCTTCATCTGTTTGTGTGTATAGGATAGAAGAACCAGGTCATCTGCAAAGCCCAAATCGTCTAGTAGCACCCAAACAGTGCGTTGTATTTTATGCTTTCCCTCGGATCTCGAGGTCCTCATAATCCAGTCAACTTTCAGTAGATAGGGAAAGGGGTAGACTAAGCAGCCTTATCTGAGTCCGGTCCTTATTTGGAATCCATCTGTCAGCTGGCCTCCAAACACGACTTTGAAGTGTAGGTCATCGTGTGAATTCCGGATGATGTTGACGATTCTCTCAGGTAATCCATAGTGTCGAAGAATGTACCAAAAGGTCATCTCACCCACACTGTCAAAGCTTTCTTGTAATAAAGGAAGTTGATGTATAGCGACGATTCTCATTCAATTGATCGTTCAACGATGATCCATAGTGTGGTAATTTGGTCTGTGCTCGACCGGTCATTACGGAATCCAACCTGTTGATCTCGAAGCTGAACGTCCAGTGAATCTTTCATCCGATTCAGCAACACTGTTGAAATTTTTTCCTGTTACTGATAGTAGTGTGATGCCTCTGTCGTTCTCACATTTGCTGAGATTCCCTTTCTTTGGCATCTTGATGAGGTATCCTTCTTTCTAGTATGTCTGCCGGTCGGTGAGAGATGTAACACGAATGATCTCTCATTTTAGACAATCGTATGGTGAGTCTGGATCCGGCTTAAAATTGACATCAGGCACTTGTTAATAACGTTTTCCAGCAGCAACGAGCTTGCGTAACTAAATTTCATGCTCTGACTTGTGATTCTGTTTGCAACGAAAAAGCTTTCTAAGCGTGCAAACGAGAGTTCAGCCTTTCGATTGTTGAAGACAGGTAAAGGTACAGAGATAATGTCCACGGAAATAGACTTAGATGAAAGACTTGGTGAACTATCAAGTGAAATGATACGGAGAAATAATAACAATTGCAATAATAAAAAGCTGAGGATTGAAATATACAGTATGAGGAAATAACAACAAGAAATGTATATATGAGACTCACTGAGAAACTGTTACTTTGGGTTCAAATATACGAATATACAGTAATAATTCCAGATGAACAATGTTATGAGTGAATTGATTATGACTGTCAATGAATTGTTAATAATTGTAATAGTAATTCCAATGTGAAATTGGTTGTGATATGATTGGAGAATATGCAGCAGACTTTGTAGAGAAATGTGTGCTCTAATTTCGGGTCACCAAATCTGCAGTTAATTCCTCTATATCTGATTGCAATAAATAGTATCCCGTTAACTGAGTATTTAAGCAGACTAAATGTCCTAGTAGAATTTTGCATTTACTCGAGATTATATAAAAAACCGAACACCAGTTGTCGAGACAGTTTATTGTTAATGATTAGTAAAGATCCGCAAGCGCGAAGAAAGTGAGCACACAGGGAAACCTATGAGTGAGTGTTAAAAGTCCATGTATATTTATGAGCGTTAATCGACTGTGAATAAATTATTGATTGTCTGTGTGTTACATTTTATTTATTTATTTATTTAACACATAGGTATTGGTACAAGGAGGCACCAAGTACATATGCGCCACACGAATCTCAATTGATTTGTGTAAGGGCTGTGATACTGCTCGGGTGCCCAAACCGAAGCAGGTGTGTTACAACCAATGGGAGGATAGATTAAATATTGATGTGCAGATATGCGCTCAATCGGACTCACACATAATTTTACATAGTGGATTAAATGTCTAAATTCCAGAGAGTAGACAGATAATAAAGTAGTTGAATGGGCTTCCTATAGTCATATAGTTGTCCACTATTTCCTTCTCTTTCAGATTTTTCCACATATTTCTGCTCGTCGGCTCTAATGCTCTTCTTTACTTGCTTGTTTGCTTCTGTATATTCAACTTTTGCCTTGACTTTCACTGTTGTTGTTGGGCTTTTGTTAATTGTTGTCTAGGGTTTCGATAGAGATCCATTCCTTATAATGATGCTTATTGCTGTTCAGTACCTCCTGACACGTTGAAGTTAGTACTTCTTTGATCGCTTTCCTGTTGTCCTCCATAGTAGTTTCTTCTTCTTTGAGTATATCTTGTAAGACTTGAAGCCTGTTGTTGAGAGTTATCCTGAATTCGTTGAGTTTGTCAGTATCTTTAAAGAAGGCTGTATTGAGCCTTTGTAATGCTGTTTGTCCAGTTGTCCAATGCTTCTTTAGCTTCAACTTCATCTTGTCAACCACTAGGTGGTGATTTGAAGCTATGTCAGCTCCTCTCCTGGTTCTCACATCTCTCATTAACCTTCTGATGATCGATCTAGATTTCTTTTGTGATCCGATGTGATCCCTGTAGCTTTGTGTATGTGTTTGTGAAAGAATATAGTGCTTCCTATAAACACTTTGTTAAATGTACATAAATTTGCGAATCTCTACCCATTCTCATTCCTTTCTCTCAGTTAGTCCATGTCGTCCCATGTTATCTTGATACCTAGTGTTGTCCATTCCGAATTTGACGTCTAGGTTTTCCATCAGGATGGTGAGATCTTTTCTTGGGCACTTCGCTATCATTGACTGAAGTCTCGTAGAACTGATCTTTATCGTCATCACTGCTATCACTGGTGAGCGCATAACATTGGATAACATTCATTGTAATTCCCTCCTTCTTTGTTTTGAAAGATGCTTTGATGATCCTGCTTTCATGAGATTCCCATTCTTTAAGTACATTTCGTTCTTCCTTGACTAGCATCAGAGCAGCTCCCTGAGTGTGTGGAACAATTTCTTCTTTGTGATCAGAATGAAACAGCATCTCTCTGGAACGTAAACTTTTTTGTCCAGCTTGGATCCACCGGGTTTCGCCTAATCCGGGCATCATCAAGTTGTATCTCCTCGTTTTTGCAGCCTTTTGATTGGTCCTCTCAGTCTCGCACATTGTCCGGACATTCCATGTACCTATATTAATTGCTGTTCTGGTTGTTAAAAGAGGTATTGTCTTCATGCCTTCCGGAGAATCTCGGCTTTCACTATTAGGCATCATAATTTTCCTGAATGAAATTCCTTCAACCCTGAGGGCAATGTTTAAATAGTTTATTTTGACTAGCGTTTTTTTGGCAAGGTTGTTTTCTACGGAATCGGGTTCCTGACTCCATGCCTAACCCTCCTACTTTACCCGGGCTTGGGACCGGAAGTAACTCTATAAAAGTTATAGACAGAGCTTTCATGACTTATCCCCAGTATATATATATATATACATATATATATATATATATATATATATATATATATATATATATATATTTCCTGTATTGTGCTAAAGTGATACTTAAATAATGACAACCTTAAAGTGATCAACCAAAATTTCGATCGCCGATGTACAATATTAGCTCAAATTATAAGTGCTGTTGCGGATACCTTGTTTCTAGATATCTTGGTTTTGACAAAATTTCTTATTTCGGATAATGATTTTATAATAATAATAATAATGTTATTGTAGCATAAAGTGTCAAGATAGGAGTGATAGCATTACAGTGTTATAGTCTAATAATTTCATTAATCATTTTGAATCTCTTAATCCTCCGTAGATTGATCGTGTTTTACACTCTCACGTTAGCCTCCCTCTGAATAGTTAGTCTCAATGTGACGCTAATCACTCAAAACCATCCATAATAATAGTACAGTGGCGCATATATATTTGGTGCCCCCCCTGTACCAATATTCATGTGTTCAAATAAAACAATAAATAAATAATAGTTCGATTACGCTACCGTATCGTGGCTTATTAAGTCAACCTACTGCTTGACATGCTCTTCAGGCTTTTCGATTGATTGTAATTACAAGATTTCGAGCAAGAAAATTAAATGTAGAATGTGATCATTCAATCGTTTGTAGTTGAGGTTAATATTCAATTTACGATGTAGTTTCATTGGTGTATGCGTACGACCAATGTATATGTATTGGACCCTAAAAGCTTGTATTCTCGTTTTATAATTAATCAAATGTGTTCACCACTTTCTATTTTATTTTCAATTTAAGGTCGTGCTGTATGATTCCGATTGGAATCCTCAATGTGATTTACAAGCGCTTTCTCGGGCTCATCGAATTGGTCAGTCTAGGCATGTTGTTATCTATCGGTTCATAACACGTCACAGTATTGAAGAGAAAATATCTCAGGTGGCTAGGCGTAAACTTGCCCTTACTCAGTTAATTGTCAATCAAAATCAGAAACATCCAAAGGCATTGGAAACTTCTTCGATTCTCGCACCAAATCAACATGACTCGACTCAATACAATACCGCACCAAAAACAGACTCAAATGTTGATAACTCTAGAGTTAACCAAGATTGCGTCTCCAGATCCGATCAAGATACTAGTCTTACAGAATCAACGCAAACACAATCAAATACTAAATCAGTAAGCCGGCTAACACGTTCAGAAATGGACGAACTATTGCGTTCAGGTGTCGAAGCTCTGTTTGCTTCAGATGATCCTTACACTACAAAGGATTTGTACGATGCGGCTCGAGTAGATGGTACGTCTATTTATGTTATAGTTGCTTAAAATTTTTATTTTTGAACTGGTTAGTTATGGATTTTCTACTCCACTTGCTTGTTGATATCTAATAATACTAGTTTTACTTAATTCCACCCTCAATAATCACTTGATTTTTATGAACTGCCCGATTTTGCTACTTTTTCAAGTGACTAATGAATACTTTAATATGCCACAACGCTCCAAGTCTCCATAGTCCATATCGACAAAATGAATATAACTATCAGGTTTAAGAGCAGAACATAAAAACTGTATTAACACTTGCAGTAGCAAACTAAACACTAAATATAATTCAAAAGGAACAAGTGATATCTAAGAATCCAAGGTGTAAATTAACACTAAATTTAGAGGTATATACAAAAAGAAAGGGAACTGTGTTCATCTTCCATTTCTCTGAACTACTCAGCTATCTTCAAGCCTGTTCCTATTATAGCCCGTAGGTGGTGGCTAGTTACGGGTCAACTCAGACGCGGAAGGTTCACAACCTCAGCATTCGTTCTAGTATTTGTACTTATCTTCAGTTTTACTCACTTGGTGGTTCCACAATCAGCTATATTTGTTTATGACTGTAATCATTCTTAATCAATATACACTTTTAAGTCTCATCTAGTATTCGCATTCCTGCGGAAAATATTTCAGAATAGCATGTTACTCCACTTATTTTTCGTATCTATACCGAGGGGGCAAAGATCAAATAAGTTGCCAATAGTTATTTAGCAATAAAAAATATTCCGATGATTTGTTTACAGTTTAAAAATGTACTTTTTATCAGGATCTAGAACTAGTCAATGCTATTTGTAGGTGACTTATAAGGTGTTCTATTTACTTTTATTCTTTTGATTATTTTCATTAATGAAAGGTGATCCGTATCTTTAGTGAACTTCAACCCCATTTTCCACGTATTTTTTCATGTGTCCCTTTTTCGGCTTGTAGAGGTGGAGTCGACAGATACTCATCAAAGAATTGTATATGATTCACAGGCTATTTCCAAACTCCTGGATCGTTCAAAAATGATGGCTGATTCCGAAGAGACTGTTCCAGCTTTTGATGAATATCTAAGTGGGTTTCGAGTAGCGCATTTTGACGAGACGAACGCTGAGCCTGTGGATGTTTTTGTAACAAAAGATAGTGAAGAGCAGGTTAACAGAATGGAGATCTCTGAAGAAAATCCTGAATCAGTCAATCCAACCATGGTTACTGATAGAACATATGCTGAAGTATGGTTGGTTTTATTAAGATTAACATTTCTTAGATCAGCTGTGGACTTAATAACTAACGAATTTAGAATAATTTTCAGTATGGGGTCGAGGAAACTTGAATTTTATTGAAATCATATGCCGATCTAAATCAGTTCATTAAAAACGTTTCGTCTTAATATGGGGCTCCTCGCATAAGCGCATCCACGATTCCACACACGGGAATCAAACCCAAGACCTTTTGGTCTCGCGCGCGATCACTTAGCTTCTAATCCACTGAACTGGGATCTAACGGCGTTAATGCTTGACTTCAATTGCTCTACGACATTTTGCAACCATCTTACACTCTTTTCGTCTTCCGTCTAATTTTAGCAATAAGCAACTTCAACCATGAGGAGAAACAGCGTCTGACGTGGCGACCCCATCAATGGACTACATTGCCATTTTTCATCGATCAAGGGCTCGGTAGAAGACTTGCTTATTCTGGAGCACATGTCTTGACTCAAATGATGCCCTGTTTCGAGCACGTATTTGTCTGCGTCTTGCTGGACGTAGAAAGTCACAATCCCTTAGAGTTTAACTTAATGATGAAAAAGTTAAAAATATATTTCAAGAACAACTAGAGGAGTTAGTCAACCATGAAAGCGATATCAAAACCGAGGTATCTGTGCATGATATTCAAAAAACTATGAGAACACCAGTGATATTTACTAGTAATTTAAGCCAAAAGGTTAGGAAAAATCATTTGGTTTCAGCGACGTCGAAAGAACTGATAGATCCTTGGGAATTCATTCCATCTGGCTCCGAACACGAAGAGGAGCGGAGACGGCTTAAACGTAGGTTGAATAAAAGCACACGCAATGACTGTGAGCAGTGCTGGGTAGCCAAAGCAAAAGATATGAAAAAATAGCTGTGATAGGTACCAGTAGACAACTATTCAGATTTATCAAGGAGACAGGTTATAAAAATCAGGCTGTTAGTGAAACTATCTCGGAAAAAACGGAACTATTGTTCGCTCTCAATCCAGGAGGTTGTATCGATGGGAAGAAAACTTTAGGAGGCAGTTCAACTCGCCTTCAGCCACACTTCAGTTATTCACTACCTCCAAGCAACCTGAATGACAAATGGACATACATCTTCCACCTCATAGTGAAGTTGAAAAGGCTATAGCGAATCTAAATAGAAGGAGAGAATCATGGCCTAGTGGATTAACTCCTGAAACTTTTAAGAATGATGGTCCAGTTTTAAAAGTTACTGAAAACTTAACTAGAATCTGGTAACTTAACACAATCCCATTTGATTAGTCATGATCACTGATCGTAACGGTCTTTAAGAAAGGACAAAAATCCTTCTGTGACAATCACAGAAGTATCAATTTAACTAATATAAATTATTAGCCTCAATAATACTTCGACGCTTACTTAGAGTTCGTAAAGAGCAAACTCAAGAATACCAGGCTGATTGCGTCTCTAACCGTGGATGTATAGAATAAATACTCACCCTTCACTAGGTTCTGGAACACAAATACTTTTTGATGTTAGAAATTAGTTTCATTCATTGAACTTAAGGAATCGTTTAACACTTGACTGTGAGCTTATCTGGCACTGTCTGTCATTTAAAGGTGCAAAAAAGTACATAAACCGTGTGCAAGCTCTCTATTCGAACGATACTGATTGAGTCAGAGTTTATAGTCAACTGTCACAAAAACTGATGACTTCAAAAGATGTTCGTCAGGTTTGTCCGCTTTCCCCATTTCTATTTGACTTTGTCATAGGCATTTCTTTAGTGATAACACACATCATCTGGGTTTTTAGGAGTTGATCTACCAGCAGATTATCTTGCTTACTTAGAATACGCAGACGATGATGGCCAAGAATCCGTCATGACTGACCGCCTTAGGCAACTATGCAAACATGTCTGGAATGCGTTTTTCTCTCACCTAATGCAAAGTGTTGCTCCAGAACGGGTCTGCATCAACGCTTGAACTAAAGATAAGGAGTGAAGTAGTTGAGCGTCTCCATTCCTTCATTTATTTTGGGAGTCTGATCTCGTCACGAACCCAGAAAGTTCCATTGGTTTTTATCAACTTCCACCATTTGTGACGTAAACGCGACATCCATCTGCCAACCGAAAGGTTAGTTTACAGTGCAGTACTTCGCTCCATCCTACTTTATGGGTGGGGAAACTGACCGTGAATAGTAGAGGATATTCGTAGGTTACTAGTATTCGATCACAGTTGTCTTCGAAGTGCTTTGGGATTACCGAGTAATCAGGAATATGGTACTGGGTAAGGATCGCAAGTTGAGTGGTGAAGTAGTTAGTCTTCATCAGTTGAGGTGGTTGAGACAAATGCTGCTCATGTCCAACCACCACCTAACCCGACGGGTGATGTTTGGCATAGGAATAGGATGGAAGAAAGCCAGGGAGGGGCGTCCAGCTCAAAACATGGCACCAACCCATGAAATCAATACCAATTAAACTGAGGCATATTAATAGGCATAGACTATCTGTTTGGAGTCCGCATGATTATCGTAACCAATCGCTAGAAACTTCGAATAACACGGCTCAAAACCGTTTGGAATGGTACAGATACTTATATTCTGTCTTCCCTCAAATTCTGAGCTTCTGAAGTCCATATAATTTTTATTATTTCACTGATCTATGTTTTCTTGGATGGTGTCTTACATTCCTAATCTCTTCTGTCACCACTGGTACTGTTACCACTTATATTTCTCTGCGATTCGGTCTAACATTTTCATCTTTATGTTAGTGGGGTATGGTTATTTATTTAAACACATAAACATTCGTACAAGGAGGCACCAATTGGATATGCGCCACATTAATCATTCGATTTGTGTGAGGGCTGGGATACTGCCCTGGTGCTCAGACCGAAACAGGTGGTTTTATCAGGGGGCCACATCCGGAGTCTTTGACAAAAAGGTCTGATCCACAAGACGGTGGAGCAACGTAAGGAGACGCAGTCCCATGTTAACCTGTGACCAATAATTGGTTTATACGCCATTTGTTCCCTCAGGATCCTGGAGTCCATATGCACCATTTGTTTGGAATCAGGGTTAGGGTTAGGTGAACTCTCTGTGTCCACCAACCCGGTAACAGTACCAGACATTCGCTATTCTTCCTCTCAATTTCGTAAACAACACCCCCGCCACGTGAAGGAAGTGAGTAGGACTTCCCTGGCAGAGGCTATATACGCGTGGCCATGTGAGAGCATTTCGAGAGGGAGAGCGGACTCTCCCCACTTTCTGCCGTACCAGGGCATTCGGGGGCGGTGTGGTATGGTAACTTGAACCGGTGTATATAAGTCCATACTTTGCAACTTATTGATTGACAAAGTGTTATCGCTGACCCTACTCCTTTACCCTGGTTTGGGACCAGCAGTAATCTAAGGGACACCGCAGTCGGAGTTTGATTAATATTTGGCGTAATTGATAATTTCTTTTTATTGCTGATGGTGTGTTAAAACTTCTAAAACAATATACTATTTATTAGCACTTTTCTGATTCGCATCGTTTAGCCACAGAATGTTATATCAGTGAAATTGTTTGCACTTCTTCATTTTCTATTTCTTAGTCTATCGGGTTTGCTGATTTTTGGGACAGACTGCTACATGAACGCTATGAGCGTCTCTTGAACACTGAAGTCGAAGCGACAAGCAAATCCAGAAGAAACCATCGAACCATGCATAACCCAAGTGTTGGAGATATAGTAGGTGATAAGTCTACTGATTCTAATAATGATGTTATCATCAGCAAAGAATTACAACTAGAAAAGGATGATGAAAATTCGACTGATTCATATATTAGTGATAAAGAAAAACTGTTTGATAGAACTAAAGCTGTACGTGAAGTGTTGAATTTACGCTTGTCCCGGCAAGAAAAACGTAAGGTTTTCAATCTTTATCACGGATTTGAGGATGAAAAACTGGAAATTTTAGTTGCTGAACTGCAAAACAAATATGGAAACATGGGTCATCAAAAACCAAAAGCTAGACCCTGTTCATCTAAACCAATGCCTGCCTCTGTCAAACGAGCTCGGTCATCAAGAGTAACTTCTAAAAGACCATATCATCGAAATACTTTTGAGAAGTCTAATACTTACCACGGTACAGATTTCGAAGATTCTTTAGAGGAATACTCCATGCCAGACATTACTAGTGACGACGATCCCCTTTATCTGCCGTCTGAAGAAACTGATTCAATCGAACCAGTTAAAGTAAAAGATTCACTAGCATCAAGTGTGAGTTTTTGTTGTTATGTAATTCATAATACAGATTTTATAATAATCTCATAATTTAATGCATTTAAGATACCAGGAATGCTCGTTTTATACTATACACCAATAACCAAAACGCACAGGAAAAGAATGTGATCATCAGTTGTTTTTTTTAACTTATCTTTACTGCTGCTCATTGGTATGCCAACTAGTGAAATTAACACTGTGTGTTGCCCAGTTATATTGTCTTCTTTTATCATTCCATTTGAGAGCTAGTGTCAATAATTGGGTTGTGTGAACAATTACGTCTATCTAGACATTTGTTTGCTCACTCGCGTTCACCCTCAAAAGCATACCTCACCAGTAAAATCTAGACAGTTTCATACTTGTTCAGAAATGATTTCCTGTTCATACTAATTTATAAAATTATTAGGGTTCAACAAATCGGAAAAAACGATGTCAGTAATTTACAGGATACTAATTATAACACGAATGACATGAGAAAGAAAATAAAATAAAACCTTTAGTCATGACAAAGAGAATATCACGTAGTACTAGATAATAAAAATGCCTAATCAACAGAGCCTTGATAAAATGGAAAAAAACTTAATTTCAATTGTATATAAAACTTTTATTTCTTTATTTACTAAGCATTTATCCATTTTTTTCGCACGTCTTTGGTGCATATTATTGCAGTGTAATGTGAATTTGTAAAAATGTACGTCATTGATGGAATTTGTTTTCATAATGGGTTGTTTAAGTTACCGAATCCAGTCGGTCAGGTAATTCCAACCATAAATCATCTACGTATTTGTTCCATGAAGCTATACTTTAATGATTAGCGATTGACATTGATAATGTTTCCGAATTATCAAAGCAAAAATTTAATAACTACTGTATAAATTGAATAATGTATAGTTTAACTGGATATATTAACCTCATACAAACACTTGTCTTACAGCGTACTCGAAGGTCTAGCACTCATACGTCTTTGCCAACTTCAGAAGCTGTTGTTGACAGCAGTGACAGTGAAGAATTTCTTCTCTGGGAATCATCCGCTAATGCAGTCAATCCAGTTTGTTGGTATCCCACAGCTGATACTTATGCCAAATGGAGAGCACGAGTTTCCGATCTTGGTCAGCATATCACATGGCATCGGGATGAGTTATTTATTTATGACTTTGGCCCTAATGATCGTCAATTATTCAACAATGCAGTTATGAGGTAATTTCTCAGATATTGTGCTATAGAATTACGCTTCTTGCAACTATAAAGATAGGATTTTTTCGGATGAACATAATCCCTTGCTTTGTTTCTGTCATTTCTTTATTCATTGTATTGTGCTACAGAAAATCGGCGGCCTGCTTGAATATCTGGGCTACCTGTTTCTGCCATCTAGTTATTTCATCATGTTATCTGTTTTTTCATTTTTTTAACGTCTCATTATGTCCATTAATCGCGTAACCTATACAGGCGCGTTTATGAAAAGCCTACGACCTTTCGCTGCACAAGTTACAAAAAACTACAATAAAAGATATCGTGGTGGTTGGCAATATGCGTTGAAGAAAATGAACATTAATCGTATGTCGATTCCCGAATTGTTAAATTCTAACTGCCGATCAATAATTAACAAGATAGACTATCTTCGATTCCTACTAAGTCAAAATATGTATCGTAATTGTGGTGTCATCATAATTCGAGAATCTTGGTTAGACGATTTACAGGACGACTGCCTAGTATCCCTACGTGATTTCCAAATTTATCATCAGGATCGATCAAACGATAAAAAGAGGTGTGGCGGCAGTGTAGCTGCTTTTGTAAACGTGAACTGGTGTCGATCTACGTTTGCGTGCTTCAAGTTTTCAAATGACCTTATCGACTGTCTAACTCTAAGCTGCCGTCCAAAACATATGAATAAATACAAATGTGTTTTTGTTACCAATATCTATGTGACCCCAGACTGCATATCATCTGCGCTATCTGTTTTTGCTGATGAATTCACTGAGTTCGTTGTTACTGCCTTCAGTGATTCACTTTCAGTTGTATGTGGTGATTTCAATTCATGTGACTGTAGCTTCCTTACATCACTAGGTCACCGAAATGTAGTAGATTTACCTACTCGGTTTGATGCTCATTTAGACTTCGTTTTCATTAATGATGTTGGTATGTGTTATATTTTGAGACCTTGGATTTGAGGGCAGTGACTTATCGATCGGACCAAAGACGCGTAAATACGCAAGAACAGCCTGGAGTTCTGATTGGTCCTGCTTCCCTATTTAGCCTAGCCAGTTGAGTTCAGAACACAAGTCTCAGCCTCTGCGATATGAATCATTATATTTCAGACATACTTTGTATATATAGCAACCAAACAGACTACATGGTACCATAAAATAGAAAATAACATTTGTGCAAGTCTTGACCAATGGGAAAATGACACGTTGAATAAATATTGACCAATAGGAAAATGACATCATTTCACGTTCAGGGATAGCATTAGACTTAACAGGATAATTTTTGGGATATTTTTCTGAATATCCCAACAATATGTGACTCGTAAACATGCCCCATTATCTAGCTCGGATCACTGTATAATTCGTGTTCTACCTAAAGTATATAGAAAGCATGGGAAGAGTACACTTAGATCAAACCAAGGAAGTCAAATATAGGAATTACTCAGAAGAAAATATCCGAAATCTGAAAAACATGTTTCATACGACTAATTGGGAATTATTTACAGATGATTCACTAGAAATCACTTCTGATTTTATCACTTGTTACCTTAAATTCTGTTTTGATATTTGTTGTCCCACTGAAACCATTTTTGTAAGTTTTGATCGACTTACATCTTCACAACTTAAACGACTACGGAGGTTGAAAGAAAGACTGTACAAGGAGAAAAGCCCTATTGGAGTTCGTAAGCTAACTTACTTACGCCTGTTACTCCCAATGGAGCATAGGCCGCCGACCAGCATTCTCCAACCCACTCTGTCCTGGGCCTTCTTTTCTAGTTCCATCCAATTCTTGTTCATTTTTCTCATATCTATCTCCATTTCCCGGCGTAATGTATTCTTTGGTCTTCCTCTCCTCCTTCGATCTTGAGGATTCCATGTGAGGGCTTGTCTTGTGACGCAGTTGGGTGTTTTCCTCAATGTGTGTCCTATCCCTTTCCAGAGCTTCTTCCTGATTTCTTCCTCCACTGGGATCTGATTTGTTCTCTCCCACAGTAGGTTGTTGCTTATAGTGTCTGGCCAGCGGATCTGAAGTATTTTGCGTAGACAACTGTTAATAAACACCTGTATCTTCCGGATGATGGATTTCGTAGTTTTCCAGGTTTCCGCCCCACACAGTAGAACTGTCTTGACAGTTTCAAAACGTATATATACAATTATATTTATACATCAATATTGTCATGGAGCTTTGAAACATTTGATCGATAGTTCGTCGATTGACTGCCATTGAAATATTTAAACATTTAATCGATAATTTCGTCAATCAACTATGTGCGTGGGTGGTAAGAAATGCCCACGTATACATCTGCATACAAGCTCCACAAGAGAGAGAGAGAGAGCTATCACGGGTTCACGTAGTTTGAGAACGAGATCGAGGATTCGGTGACCAAGGTCCAGTAAGCTATCTATTGATGCGCCCCAGCCCCGCTATCTAGAGTGAGAAGACCAAGCTTAGAATGAAAGTATATTCTGTAACAACCAGAAAACCAGCAAACTTTTTTACAAGACAATTTTAAAACGTATATATACAAATATATATACATTGATATTGTCATGGAGCTTTTAAACATTTAATCGATAGTTCGTCAATTGACTGCCATCGAAATATTTAAACATTTCATCGATAAATTCGTCAATCAACTATGTGCGTGGGTGGAAAGAAATGCCCACGTATACATCTGCATACAAGCTTCACAAGATAAATTACAAACTATGAGTTTTTGGGGATCTATCGTCCCCAACACTCCTCTCCTTTTTGAAGATCCGGTGTTGAGATCCGGATTTTAAGTTTTCCGTGTTCATCCTCCTCCACGAAACAATGTTGGGTCCTCCTATACCCAAATTACAATTAGCTTGACTGTATTTAAAACGTATTGAGCAGAGAATCCAGTAAAATGGACCAGGTAGTAAGGATAAACGCCATTTAATTTGAGGTTATCAGAGTTTGAATCTTCTGAAATCTTGTTATCAATTTTATTGGGAGCTTCATTTGTAGATGATGAATCAATAAGATAATCATCATTTATCAAAATTTTGTTAGGTTCTTGATCATCGTTTGATGCATCCGACAAAGTTTCCTCATTTTTTGTAAGAAATTTGATCGAAGGCATGTGAGTCATTAAGATAACTCATACCTGGTAAAACAACTAAGGAACCGCGATAAGTAGATTGATCAGATGCTTTTGTCGTAGAATGATGATCTGCATTTGATGCATCTGTCTTTACTATGCTGATTGATTGATTTTCTGTTTGTTCGTGGGCGGCTACTGTAATAAGTTCATGAGCATTTAATAAGACACGGTCTCTGTGTGAGCTGGACACATCAATGTCTGAACATGCTGTTTCGGGGAAAATGGAGATTGGATCCATTACCGGGTATGTTTCTGGAATGGGGAGTACTGGACCACCGAGCGGATCTTGAGTGACAGCTGTATCGTTTGAAATATGGTTTGCTAAGGATTCATGAGGACTGCAATTATTTTCTAGCTCAGTGCGCAATTGAGAAATTAATCCATCCACATCCGTCGTATCTTCAAAGCATGAGCGATTCCGCAGCTGTGTGCTTAAAATGACTAAGAACTCCAATTGTCGCTCAAATAGCAGCTGTAATCGATCGGAAGGGAGAGTCATTTTTTTCTTAATCGTAAGCTAAATGGTCTGATAAACCTCGAGATTAGTCGTATTGACACTATGTTTACTCAAAAACTCTTGTCTTGTAAAAACTCGTCAAATATGTGGGAACTCTTTAAAGAACTTACAGGTGACAAACAGATTAGGACCGATAACCAGCTGGATGTTTGTGACTTAAATAAGTCTTTTTTACGTCAGTCATCTGATGTGATGCTCCCTTTATTCACGGATTTAAAAAATAGCTGTGTTCCTAGTTTCACTGAAACTGATGTCCGGAAATATCTCCAGTCACTAAATTCATCCCGATGTTTGTCACCTGATAGTATCCCAAACCTCCTTTTTAAAAAGTGTGCTGACGTCCTATTCTATCCATTCACCACTATCTTTAATAGATCCTTCTCTTCTAATCTCATACCGAAAATGTGGAGAAAGATGAAGATAATCCCTATAACCAAGAAAGCATCTGGTGATATTATTTATTATTTATTTATTTGAACACATAAATATTGGTACAGGGGGGCACCAAATATATATGCGCCACACAAAACAATGATAATTTGAAGAGAAGGAGAAAAGAGAAAAAAAAAAGTAATGAACGTGGGGAATTATAAAAAAAAGGGAGAGAGAACAATGGTGGGGGAAACGGAAAGGTACAATCAGAAGAGATCTTTCAGTTAAGGAAGATATAAACACTTTTTATGAAGAAAGTAAGAGGTTACAGCACGATCGCCACTGGCTTCTATTCTTAGCCATATCTGATAACGTCTCTAGCCACTGCGTTACACCGTCTCTAGGACCCCAACCAGGGAGTCGTGAAGGACCAACAGAAGCTAGCCCTTTGCAGCTTTCTTTCATACCACGACACCATGTCATATACTGACCACCTCTCCGCTTTTCCCAACCAGTCCCGGAGTCGGCAAATAATGCTCGACGTGGAATTCTCTGGGACGACATTCGTAGAACATGTCCAAGCCACCGAAGTCGGTGTTTCAAGATGGTGACACCAATTTCATTATCGTCTCTGTGACGGAACACTCGATGCCGAACCTCTGCATTACTGACATGGTGTTGCCACTGGATGCCAGCAATCCTTCGGAGACAGCGATGATCGAACACAGAGAGTCGTCTAACATCCTCAGCTCGGAGAGGCCAGGTTTCACAAGCATAGAGCAAAACTGCTCTCACCGTCGCGTTGTAGATCCGACCTTTTACAGCCAGACTAACATCACGAAGGCGCCAAAGGTGGCCCAGATTGGCATAAGCCGCTCTGGCTTTCACTATACGAGCATTGATCTCATCACTCACACCACCACCAGCACTTATGCAGCTACCTAGATAGACGAACTTCTCGACTACTTCAATCTG